TTCTTATTTGTCTCGCTGTTCGTATTCCGGATGACGCCAAACGCAAATCGGAAGAATGTTGTCTTTTGGTTATTTTTTTTATTTCCGCTCTCAAAGTGATTTTTGTTGTTATTTTTACATAAGTTTATAAAATTGTTCACTGCATGATAAGACCTGATTTTTTTTGCAATTTGTTGATTGGACAAACCCATATCTTTGTAAGCAATAATTTTTGCTTTTTCTTCCATATTTAACACCTTCCTGCGTGGCATTGTAATAATTAAATAACAAATCTTAATTAAAAATACACAAAAAGCAAACAAACTAAAAAATCTCTCTCAAACTTAAATTAATTCTTATTAAGTGATCTAAACAAAGTAATGGAACTATGGAAATTGTATATATACCAATTTTAAAACATTCTAGAAAATTTAGTTTTAATTGTTTTAGAAACACATAAAATTGTCATAAACATATTTGTTTGCAATAAGTCTCATATAGAAAATTTTTGTAGTTAATTTTATGAGTTCGGCATAAAATCTGGAATAATAACATGGAACTATAGAAATTTTGCTGTGTACTTTATTACAACCTGCCGTCAATTTGCAACCAACATCAAACAATGCTAAAAAGTGTTCCTAATTTTACATGTCTTAAAAACAAAATAAACTATACTACCACAGCAAACAGTTCAGGAGTCTGGAGTCATAGCATGCCATGACATGAGCAATCAGCTGACAGGTGACAGCACACAGGCAGAATTTCGTTGTCAAGTGCCATTTCGCAGCAGACAAAACAAATGCAACTTTTTTGGTTTGTTTCATTTTCTTAAGCCTGGTCCATGTCAACGTCACAAAAGTTTTTTAATAATTAAAGGAAGTAACCAGAAGTTTCCAGAAGCATGCAGAAGCTTCCAGAAGTTTCCAGAAGAAGCATCTGGAAGCATCCAGAAGTATCCAGAAACATTCAGAAGCATCCAGATGCATCCAGAAGCTTCCAAAAGCATCGAAAAGAAGCATCTAGAATTTTCCAGAACAGGTTCACACAGGTTCATTTAATTATATGAGACATGTAAACCGACATGTAATTCAGTCAGTATATGGAAGTCAATCAGTCAGTTTTGTCAAGACAGTTTATTGAAGTGAGTTTTATCAAAGTGTTTTTTTCGAAGAACATCAATACAAGAAGTGAAATACAACAAGTGTTTCATTACATCAATACAGTCCACATCCAACCAAAACGTTGTGTTCCGCAGAGCATTATTGTATCACCACAAGGTAAATGTAACACGGTAAGCGTTGAGAAGCGTGATTATTTTTTTTTATTTTTATGACTTCAAGTGCAAAAATGTCTCCCAACTGTCTTGGGTTGGAACTAAAAAAGAAAATTATTGGCGATTACGTAAGTGAAATGTTACAAAAAAGTATTTGTGATAAATATTGCGTGAAAAAATGGATCTTATCAAGACTATGTTCCAAATATTGTTCTATGGGGAAGTATGCAGCGGATAACAAAGGTGGAAGACTGTGTTCCACCACTTCTAGAGATTCTATGATCGTCAGATCCGTCAAGAAGGATCTCTGGATATCATCAGTCGAGATACAAAAGCAATTAGAGCTGCCTGTATCGGACCGAATAATCAGACAACGTGCTGTTGAAGCCGGATTGTTTTCTCGATGCCCCTGCAAAGAAACCGCTGATTTTACTAAAGAATCAGGAGAAAAGACTCCTGTTTGCTACATCTCATATTGACTGAAATGTGCAGAAATGGCAAACTGTCTTGTTCAGTGATGAATGGAAGTTCAACATCATTGGGAGCAATGGCATTTGCCGTGTATGTCAACCGGCCGGAAAACACCTCGATTTATGTTACTGCCATAAGACCATGAAGCATGATGGAGGCAATGTAATGGTCTGGGGGTGTTTTAAGACAACTACCAATCGGTGATGGATTGGCCGCCTCAATCTCCGGATCTCAACCCTATCGAGAACCTGTGGGAGATCATCAACCGCAGAATTAATCGTGAAGGTGTTCGTAATAAGGATCAACTGTTTGAACAAATCCAAAAGGCCTGGGCAGCGATTCCACAAAGTTTCATTGATCACCTGATCGAATCTATGCCTCGAAGATGCAAGGCTTTGATCGACAACAAAGGATTTGCCACGAAATATTGATAGCGAAATACAGCTTGGTCAACATTTTGTGGAGTTGCACTTGTTTTGTAGAGAAGAAAATTAACTTTTTTTAATACTTTTGATTAATTTATTAATTTTCGTGTACAAATAATGAACTTTGTGATGAATAAAACTTGAAGAACATTGTCTCTAAACAGTTACATAGTTATTTCTCTAAATTGAAAAAATACAGCACTTTTATATAAAAAAACTAAATTAGCATTATTTGGTTGCACTTGTTTTGTCCGATACTATATATATATATATATATATATATATATATATATATAATATATATATATATATATATATATATATATATATATATATATATATATATATATATATATATATATATATATATATATATATATATATATATATATATATATATATATATATATGTATATATATATATTGTATATATATATTGTATATATATATATATATATATATATGTATGTATATATATATATATATATATATATATATATATATATATATATATATATATATATATATATATATATATATATATATATATATATATATATACAAAATAAATAGCGCAGATTGATGTCCAAAATGTAATGCTTTATTTTCCAGAGATCTAAGTTTTTGAGGCCTAAAC